TAAAAAACTTCTCAAAAAAACATTGTGCAAAAAAATGAAATGACATTTTACTATACATATATTACTATACGTATATAATATATTATATAAAGTGACATGAGCGCCTCGTGAAGAGATATTAAGACATTTAAAGTCGTGACCTCGTGTTGTACATATACCGATTTTATTTTTACATATTATGCATAATATTACGAGATGCTTCTTTATATATAATTAACTTCCCGTAGAGTAAGTTATTGTAATCGTCCAAAAATCGAAATTGAACATTTCTGCATTTCTCGACGTTTTGAAGTTTTTTGAACATTTTGGCATACCTCAGAAAAAATGGATGTGTGTGTGTGTGCATGTGTGTTTTCGAAAACATTCGATTCCTATTGATAGGGAGATGTGCTGATTAGTTTTTGGCAAATGCAGGTCCAGCAGTTACGGAGATACAGAGCAAAGAGTGTAGAAAATAGAAATCGAGTTTTTGAGAGAACGGAGAATCCAATTTGAATGATCTAAACAACATTCAGTTCGTAATGATGAGGAGAAGAGGTGATTAGTTTTTGGCAAAGGCAGGTCCAGCCGTTTCAAAGATACCGAGCTAACTGTACGAAAAATGGCAGTTTTCGAGAGAACAAAGCATCCGATTTTCATGATTCAAAAAACTTTCTGCTCGTGTTGACGAAACAATTGCTTATGAAAAAAATTTTTTTTTTCGTAGATCGAAAATATTTCAGATTTTTATTTTAATTCTCGCTAAAGTTCGAAAGCTCACTTATATGCTTTAAATAAATAAATTCAATTTTGCAATTCAGTTTACATAATTCTTATAAATATTAGACAATGTTACAGTATTTATAATAATCTATTTGAAAATCTTTAATATTCTCGAACATTTCGTTACGGTACGGGAGGTTCCAGTAATTTGCCTTAAGGCATGATGCCATACACCACTAGTTCTGGTATGAATGCGATTCGATTCCGGTACGTTTTAAACGTCACCAGAGCGAATGTGATATTAAATATTTATAAGTTAAAATTAAATAATATGTAATCCAAAAGCAGTATTTATTAGAATAAGTTCTCTTTCAATATATCGGCGACAAGCAAACATTATTTTTAGAAAGCAAAGGCACATGCATTTGACATATTCTTTACGGCGTTATTGCTATTGAAGGGCTGATTGACAGGTTGAAATAAAAAATAAAAAGTATAGATGATTTCCTATTTCTATATAAACTAGCTGTAAGTGGAATTCTGTCTTAAGGCAATTAAGGCATCGTGCCTTAAGGCAAATTGCTGGAACTTCCCGTACCAAAAATTATTATTTTTTTAAAAACGATTAACATTTTTGAAAAAAATTTACTTTAAAAAAATAAGATTTTTGAGAAACTATAAATTGGACAAAAATTTACTTTTTTTTGAAAAAAAAAATTTAAAAAAAAAATTTTTTTTTGTTAATTTTTTTTTTTGAAAAAATTTTTTTTCTCTATTTTGACATATTGTGGAAGATCTAAATTTTTTTTTCAAAGCAATCGTACTGCTTTAACTGCATAGGGACAAAATATAAGGCGCGTAAGCGCCGCGTCGCTGTCTAACGCATAAGCATTGGTACGGAACCCATAGGAATGTTAACAAAATGTATACTTATTGTTAAAATCTCTATAAAATATCCGATAATTTGATGTGCATATGTCTGATGATCATTTTTGACCGCCAAATGGCTCATTTTTTTACTTTTTCCTCCATATCTCCGAAACCGCTAGACCTACCTTCATGAAAATTTTATCAGTTCTTCATCTTGTCAATACAAGTGAATTATTCAAATCGGACGTTCCGTTCTCTTAAAAACTGAGTTACCGTTTTTGGCACTTTTTGCCCCGTATTTTCGGAACGACTAGACCTGCCTTCTCCAAAAACTAATCAGCACGTCTCCTTATCAATACGAATCGAATGTTTTTTGAATTATTCAAATCGGTTGATCCGTGTTTCCGAAATCGTCGACGAAAATTTGTATCCGCACATACATATACACACGTACATACATACATACATACATACATACATACATACACACACACACACACACACACACACATACATCCATTTTTTCTAAGGTATGCCAAAATGTTCAGAAACCTCTGAAACGTAAAGATATATAAACATTTTCATTTTTGATTTTTTTGCGATTACTATAACTTGCCCTACGGGAAGTTAAAAAAATAAACTTGTGGTGCGTGCCTAAAGGCAAATTGCTGGTACTTCCCGTACCGCAATTTAAAATATTAGGTTGTCAAATATCTCCCTTCCGCTTTTTTGCTCTTGGTTTATGATACAAAAAGGCGGAAGGGAGATATTTGACAACCTAATATTTAATTTTAATTTTAATACTTTAGCTTAGTAGATTTTTTTAAAAAAAACTTGCGTTTTTTAAAAATTAAAAAAAAAACCTTTTTTCAGATTTTGACATTAAAAAATATGGTCTACTTTGAAAATTTTGAAATTTTTTGAAAATATTCAAGAAACCCATTCAAGTCGGTTAACCTAAACTGCCGGCTTTAAACTATTTGTACTTATTATTAAAATCTCTGTAAAATATTTTATAATCTGATGTGCATATGCCTAATGATTATTTTTGACCGCTATTTATTTAAAACCTTTTTTCTATCTACGAAACCTTTGGAGTACGTTTCTAACCTTCTTTATTCTAAAGTTTGTCAAAATGTTGCGAACCCTTTGAAACATAAAGGTATAGAAAAATGTGTTTGCGATTACTTACCCTACAGGAAGTAAATAATTGTAAACTGATAGAAAAAAATAGGAAAAGATTATCATAGAAATAATTGCTCAAAATATCATCTTTTATATTTACATATTTTTTAAGAAATTTGTCATATTCATTCCTCTCCTAATTTTGGGTTTCATTAAATACTACATATACGAGTTTCTCGAGATGTAAATATTTGAAGACAAAAGATTACTTAAGGGATGTGAATATGCGTCCGCATGAATATTTGAAAACATTTTCAAAAGTTACATAACTTGTTAGTCAAAATTAATAAAGATTCAATCCAAGGAAACCAAGAGAACTTTTGATACTTTGTATTTGTATTATATACTTATATATTTGTATTATAATGTATACAAATTGTATACATTTCTATAACTATTACATAAAAATAGTTGCACTAGGTCAAACATGCGAATGGAATGAAAAGAATGTTAAGAATCTTAAGTATAATATTAAAATCTGAAAATTTAGATCAAAATTACGTGAAAATAAAACGTCAATAGAGCTAAAAACAAAAAATGTTAAAGATATTATAATAAGCAAATCAAAAGAAATTTCAAATCGATCAAAATGTCTAAAAGTTGATGTAGCTAACATAATTGCATATTACAAAAATCCTCTGCTCACAAATAGCATGATGTCTAAGGTCAGCAAAAATTTCTATATTCTGCATTATTAAATGTAATGTAATAGAGTGGTACATGAAAATTACATGCATGTGGATTAAATAAGATAATGCTTGGTTGTTGATTTATTTTATATCCAATGCAAAACATAACAAATACAAAATTTGAATTAAGTCGAGCTATTTTCATTAATATTTTACTGCTTCACAATATATAGTAGGAAACTAATTTAGCTTAATATTTTGGCTTTCATCCGTTTTTTACTAAAAATCTATAAAATGATTATGTACTTTGATATGACTTTATACTATGAAAATTTCCTACTCATTTGATATTTCAGCATTAGAATGAAGATAACAATTCTGATGCATTTTGGGAACTGTTGGTGCAATTGTATCAAATATGGTATATTTTCAAGATAATATGTAGACAGATTATATATATATATATATATATATATATATATATATATATATATATATGCTTTACGTGGCGAAAGATATATTAAGTGTTTTTGGACATTCATCCAATAATTAACAGAATTTAATAAAGAAAAATGTCTTCATTGTAGCAGCAATGTATACAAATAATTATTAATTGAAAAAAAAAACAAAAATGCAAACACTGACACATAGTTATATAACAAAAAATGTTTAATTAAGCATTAAAATAAAATAAATTTTATATTTATTTTATTTGTACTTTATAAATCTTTTCATTTATTTTATTTGAATATTGAAGTAAAAGCTTTTTTTGTCATATAGCTCTGTGCTATAATAATTAGTGTTCGCATTTTTGTGTTTTTCTTTTAATCATTTATATGCACTAAAGATGAGTCAAATAAAAGCTCGAAACGTTCGATACTACAAGAAAGACTGTTTCTTGCCCAAAAACACAATATATATATATATATATATATATATATATATATATATAATGCCACAAACAAATAAATATAAGCATCCTACCTGAGTTTCTAAGTTTATCTACATGGTTCCGAAAAGATTAGAAAATTATGCAATGTTTGTTTTCGTTTATGTGGTATATATATATATATATATATATATATATATATATATAATTAAATTGCGTATGAATAAATACAATTATATGTCAATAAACAATTTGCATAAATTATCAGAACTTTGTATATAAAATTAGAATTAAAGAATGAATTAATGCAGCATCTATATATAAATTACAATCCATTATATAAATAAATATATTTAAACTGTTAAGTGTCAACGGAAGAAAGAATATGATTTTTGTATATAGATAATATGGCATAATATGCATCCACTAACAATTTATGCAATAATATATTTCACATTACAATTGTATAAATATATTGTCCAATGAAATGATAATCCAAAAAGTTAGTTGATATATTTCTATTTTAATCGTTATTCAACAAATTTACAGTTGCAAAATCTACGAATCCGGCTTTTGATTACAAGATTATTATAAACACAATATATTGAATTCTGTTAAATATATGAATTAAGTTGCGGTTAAAATATAGAAATAGTAACATAACTTAATTTTCGGAACCAATTAATGTTGTTTTAATACTATTTTTTGAAATTTCTGCTACTAACCTTGGTATTTTACGCAAATCTGCCATTTTATTCTTTTCATTTGGGGCAAACCAAATTTCGAGAAGTTTTTCCACTCCCTCAAAAAATTGAACACTGTTATTTATTACCTCACTTTCAGCCATAGTGCACAAATCAATTAAAATAGAAATTATTGGAGCAACACATTAATACCCTATTGCAACGCGTCAAGAACAAGTACTGACAGGAGGACTGAATTCGATTCGATTCGATAGCAAGCGCTCGAGCGCCGACGACGTTTCTCGGGTGGTCACGCCGTCGCACGCGCGAACTATTATCGACTTCGGCCAATTACCAGAGACATCTAGCGAAGCATTACGGAAATACAAAACAGGCTCCTTACTGACAATTGAGGCGCCCCCCTAAGGACTCTAACCAGAATCAGACATCTCGTTAGACTTATTGTTCTAATTCATACATACAGTTTTAACCATATGATTCTAACTGGAACGATTTAATACTTTAAAACATGCAACAAAGTAATAAAACAAATTAGTATTAACAAAATATACATATATTAAATTGTAAAACATGTTTAAATAAATATTACAATACACATAATTTATCTTAAAACATACATATAAGAATATTAATACAAGCACCATTTATAGGCATTAAACATAAGAATGTAAGATTGACATGGAATGTGAAGCACCAATAAAATAAAATATACATTGCAGTCAGAAGCATAAAAATATCCCGCAACATAAATGCATATACAATGTAAATTTCTATAATTAAAAAATTTGCGCACAAACAAGACTAATTACGAAGGTAATACTTCAAATGGTGGGACCCAACCACCAAATATTTTTTCCAGTTCTGAAGCTACAGCTATAGTAAGGTGATCATTGTATGGAGCAGCCACTACTTGAACACCTAATGGAAGTCCATCTTTATCCAATCCAAGGGGTACTTGTGTAACAGGCAGATGTAATACATTGAATATTCCCCAGTATGAGAAATTATATGGTCTTAAAAATGCTGAATAATGGTAAGGTGCTGTGAAAGTTGTGCTCGGGTATATCAGGACACCATCAGAGCCTAATAATTCCTGAAACATTTTTTTTTTATATAATACTGCAATAATAATCTCTATATAAATAATTTAAGCAACCTCAAAATATGACTTCAACTTTTCTGTCAATTCTTCAGCCCATTTGGCATTTTCTGGCTTTAGTAGACAGCTATCAAGCAAACTCAAAATAGAAGCCATGGTGTAATCACTTTGTCCAATGCACTATAAAAATAATAATGTAAAAATTTGCATCACTCATATTCAATATTCGAATTGTTACCTTTTTGAGCAGTTCATGAATGCCATTAGCTTTTGCATCTCCGTTATTCAAAAGTGTTGCGAAATCTGCTGGTTCTTTAGTCATCCAGTAGCGCCATAACCTAAATGAATATTCGATACCCTCAGCTGATGCAGGCTTTACTTCATTACATACTGTTTCGAGTTCACGTACAACCCTTGAAATATAAAAGTGTTAATATGGTAGGTATCAGAAAATAACATGTCTTATAATTAAGTTTACTTTTTTAGGCATTCTTTTAATGGCTGACATACAGAGCTGCATTTAATGTCGCGATTTTCTTCTATATAGTACACTTTTAAATTCTTCATTTTAACTGGAGTATCCAACTTCAATAAACTGCATTTTTCACCTACAAGAATTTTTAGCAAGGGCAAAAGATCTTCAGCATGACGAGTCATAGGACCAGCTTGTACCATTGTATTGGTCTCCTGTCCAGTTCGGAATGTACAACCTTAAAAATCAAATAGAATTGTTAGTGTACATAGTTGCATTAATTATAAAAAGTATTCAATGTAAATGTGATCACATAATCACCTTTCATATTAGTCAACTCTGATGTTGGTTTATGACCAAATATACCACAGTAAAAAGCAGGCATCCTAATAGAGCCACCAATATCAGTTCCTAATCCCCAAGCTGATCCACAAGCTGTCACTATAGCACCTTCGCCACCACTTGAGCCTCCAACAGTACGAGATAATTTGTATGGATTTTTAGTTAAACCATACAAATTATTATATGTCTCTTGCCTAATGAAATTTGATATCATTTTACATAATAGAAAATGTAAATAAAAGAATTTAGAAATAATACTTCTTAAAAATATTTTTACATAGTTAAACAATTATATTTTACAGTTTAATTAATTGCTGAATCTTTTTATAATGTACCTACCATCTGTTCACCTCCGGAACGTTTGTGACACCCAAACAAATACCTCCGGCTTCTATGCTTAATCTTACAACTTCAGCATTTGAAGCAGCACGCATATATCTTCGACAAATTAATCCAAGAGTATGAGAACATCCTTCAACAGCAGTGGAGTCCTTTGTTGTAAAAGGAACTCCTATTAAGTTTATTTTGTTAGATTTTTTTTTTTTGTAATATTTAAACTATGTTTTCACTTTAGAGATAATTCTACAATGATGAAGCAATAAATGGTAATTTTCGAAAACTTTTAATTCATCTCTAATAATAGTTCTAAATTTTTTAGGTATAATTAAATATTACCCAAAAAAGGTTTATTCTTGAAGTCCTGTTCAGTATATTCTCCGTTGTTAATTTTTTTGTCTATGGCTTTAGCTTCCTCTAGTGCTTTATCAAATCTCATGTCGACTACAGCATTTAAGATATAATTGACCTGAAATTAGACCAGTATACAATGTTCCATTAAAAATAATTTTTTATATCCTATTAACCAACAATATTTAATTGTGATCTTTCATCAGGCCACAGTCTCTAATAAATCATCCCAATTTTGATAACAATTCCCAATTAATAATAAATACAAATTAAAGGAAATATACAGTCACATTCATCTAACAACTTTTATTTTATCTTAATATTGTTCATACATTAAATTGTTGATCTTGAAAATGATTCAAATGATGGAGATTTCAGATCTTTATTTTGCAAATTCATTTGGAATATTTATATTTGTGTTTGATAAAAGATATGACCACTTTTATCTGCTATCAATAGACAATGAAATGACAATGTATTAATAATATTTACATTTTTTAAAAATGATATGAAACAATAAACAAATATATGTATAAATTAAGCATTATTATAAGAAACAAACTTCTATTTGTTAAAGAAAGAAGACATAATACAAATGTATTAAATAAAAAGTTATCAAATTTAAAAAAACACTCAAAAAAAATTTTATTATGAAATCCTACCTTGTTTATCCTGCGTTGGTATGCAGTTACAACTTCTTCAGATGTTAACTTGCGTTCACGAATTTTTTTAGCAATACTGACTGCACTCTCCATTACAAAATAGTCATCTTCCAAAGGAGATAATGGTTGTTCTTTGTTCGACCAGTACAAAGAGAAAATATAATCAATAAATTTATCTAAAAATTTTCGAAACAGTATTAATAGCTGCATGACTATGCTGCAAAACATTGTTCTGAGCAGCTTTTTTGTTTTGTTGGACTTGTGCTGTAAATAAAAAAATAAACAAAATGATCAGTGCATAGATTATACACCAATTTATATTGATGTACATAATTAGAAACTAAATTTACATATATTGATTGCACACAATGCAAATGAATATTCAATTGCACAAGCATAAATTAACTGTCTTGCATAAAGGCAGTGTGGTAATGAAAGAAATATTTTTGTATTAAAGTAATAATGATAAATATGAGCATTTTTTTGAAAATGTAACTTTGAAAATAAAAATATAATTTATAAAAAGAAGTAAATGACATGTTTTACAATAAAAGTTAACAGCGTAGAAACGTCATTAGCAAAAGTAGTTTTATGTATTCTATTATTACACCCAATTCTAAACAAGTTGTATTCAAAGAATATTCTTACAGATAACCTCAAATTCTGTAGCTCCCTAACTGTTTGTCTTAATGTGCCTTGCTAAAGTAAAATTTGAATAAACAATAACAGAAAATAAAGATATTGTTGTTCACCTGGGGAAACCAATCGTCAAATATTTCTTCCTTAAAATGTACACTTGTGCAAGGTATTTTATTAAACTAAAAGACTAATACTTTCTTTTCCAGCCCTGTATGATAATATGAAATAGCGTGAATTATGTATTTTAAATAAAGTATTGAATCAGCCGATACTGGAAATAATAAGCTATATAAAACTTCTGTAAAAATTTTATACTTAAAGCTAAACTGTCATCATAAAATATTAATATCAAAAAACAATTATTTAAGTAATATTTGTTTAGCTTAATTTGTTTCAAAAATATAATACTACTGTACTATACTTTCTATTTGCTTTGCAAATAATCCGTAATAATTGATATTATAAGTGAATTTTATTATTATACCAAGCCGATTATATATGTCACTTAGAACACAAAAATAATTCTTAGCGTACTTTATTTTAAAAAGGAAATAAACCATTTTAATAACGTCAATTCACATTTGTACAAATAATTAATATAACCACTTACCTTGCGCACACGATTTTGGTCCGTCATATTTTATTTATAAAATTTATTTTCAATGTAAACACTTAATTCACTAAAAACAAAATTCAATTATTTTGTTCATCAAATACAAAAAGCGGGTAAAACCGAACGCGAAAGCCATGACAGTGTGACATTTGAAGGTGAGTTGACAACAATTACGGTATCGTACGATGTTTCACGAAAGGTGCCGATTTGTAGTCACCTGACTAACTGCAAAAATACGTACGCGAAATTTAAAATTTCAAATATGAAATAGCGAAAATAATTACATTTTTATGTGAATTTATGGCATATAATGTACAATTGGATATTGTATGTCTTTAGGAAAGTTTCTGAAATTATGGTTTTAAAAACAGTTATCACATTAGTAGCATTAGTACGTAGATTGAAATCTGAAATCCACAGTAAAATCTGTGAATCAGTATTTGCAAAATAAGATTGCAAGAGACAAATGATAATTGTATTTGCATATATCAAATACTAATTTTTGGACATAATGTGAACGTTTTCAACATATTTGCATTAGCCTAAAGGCGAGCTGCTTTTGCCAACTATCAAATACTAATAGCTACAAGAATTTTGGTTAATCTATACAATTTAGTTTAGATATTTTTTCTAAATATGATATTAAAACTTGAAAATAACCAGAAAAAATAATTTTCTACTATTTGCGATATCATAATCTTTGAAAACATATGAAAAGTTGATAAGTAAAAATATTTTTCCTTGCTCTATAAATAAAGTACTACGATCAGTAGATATATTAAGCGCTTAATTCACTTCTATACTTAAGTCTCACGTTATTGTAAATACACCATAATCATAATTATAATTGTAATGTTTTATTAATATATGTTATAATATATATTATATTATAAATGTATTATAAGGTGACAAATCCTCATTAGTAAGGGACATGAAAAATTGATGTCAGCCGATTCTCAGTCCTGCTGAATGTATATATATATATATATATATATATATATATATATATATATATATATATGTATAAAGATAAACTATTTGTGTTGTTTGCAGTAGTTACCCCTTTCGCTATGTGCTGCATACTTCCACATTCAGAATTATATATCATTATATATTTTAGTCACACGGAAGTCGGAATATTGAAACTAATTGTAAGTGATATTTTGATTTAGAGCAAGTGGCATGAACTTCCCGATATGTGTAAATAATTGACTTAATCAAGATGTGAAGTGGTCTTAATCAAGGAATTGAGATTTAGATATTTAGTGAAAATTTCCACTTTTAAAATTTTTGAAATCGGTGCAGCTATTTTTAAGAAAACGTCACCAAAAAGTTAAATTTTGGTTCACATACACCACACATTACTCTTAGTATCTATACAAGTTTCAAATAATTAAATTCTGGATATTTGAACCTTTAACGAATTATAATACATAATACATATATTTTATTATTATTATTATTATTATTGTTGTTTTTGAATAGCAATGTGAACTTGAAGTCATATAAGCTATTAGGCTAATTTGACTTAATACTAAGTTAGTTTTACAGATGGTCAGTTGTCTCATGTCTGTGTGATATATGATGTTATTATAATAATGTATCATGGAAAATATTTTCTAAATGCAGCAAAACATATTGCTATCATTTCCAAGTGAAAACGGATGTCCTGCTTGACGCAGGCTCCTCGAAGCGGGACCAAACTCGGGACCTCTGGTTGAGGCCCTGTCGCTCTAGCCACTTATCCACGAGTAAGTGGTAATTTCATATATAATATAAAACAATGTTTCAAAATTATGAATAATAGTTATACACATGATCATGAAAACAATTATTACTATATAGTTACATACTATTGATCAAAATGTCATAAAATAATTGACTGATTATGATTATTATCATCTGAATGATAAATCCATTGAACATATAATTAAAGGTTTATTACACAAAATAGCTTACATTAAAATTGCGTTTAACATACATAATATTCATTCATTAAAAATTAATTAATAACAATTATAGAGATTTTGCATATATATTAACTAAATTAAAATTCATATATTCAAATATTCACAAATATGGTCAATTACTTATAAATCAGTCACATAACATCACGTTTTATATACATACATAATATAAAAAATCCATATAATCTTCTACTTTAGGTTACAATAATTAAAATTATTATAAATCGTTATAACTGTTTTTGTACAGATATGTTTATATGTTACTTAATAATAAAATCTTTCTTGGTTATTCATTTTAGGTGACTATAAGCACAATCTGTTGTTGTCAGCCCACAAGTTCATGTGGTTTCCATTTTCCTGATCTAATTGATCATCCTCAAATGAAACCTAAAAATAAAAATTAATCGTTAGAATAATAGCCAATGAATTTTTTCGAACGTAATTTCTAAATGTGGTGCATTAAATTCAATATTGATATTACTTGGATACTACAAAGTTTTATATATAAAAGTAATGTTTCAGAAACGTATTTCACTCGTCGAATTGAATTCCATTACAATAGAAATTGATAGATCGATAATAATACAGTTACTTAGATGCTTTTATCTAAAATTGAATCAATTCTTGGAGGAATATTTCTGAAACTTGGCGACCGCCCACACTATATTGTGCGATGTGCGATACTTGGATTACATGATTTTACTTGACATTTTTCTTGTGAAACTCAAATTAAATATAAATTTTATCTATATATATATATATTCTAAAAAACTACATTTATTTTTAAATGAAGTTTTCTACAAAAAAAGTTTTATTCAAATATAAATGAAATTAAAAATACAACGTAAAAAGATCTTGACTCTATATGAACTAGACTTAAAAAAAGACCAATTATTTCAAAAACTTAATACCTCAAAACAAGCAAAGTTAGGCATTTTTTTAACATTTAAGAGTAGAGGGAAAAATATAAGTAACCAGCCATCGCGTTAAATCAATCAACGTTGCTATCAGAACATAAACGGTCATGTTTGAAAATCCACAACAAAAGTATTCTCTTTGGTTATTAATTCTTTTGGTTGTGAGCATTCTTGTTTAGTTTGCGAAATCTTAATATAATTTTAAGTATACGTTATTTAATTGTTGTATAGTATATTTGAATGTTAAAGTTAAAATGAATAGTTAATTTGAAGTTAGATTCAACATATGATTTTATATAACCCCTATAATACATTTGATCTGGAAGGGGTAAAAAGAATCTATTGAACCTTTACCTTGGTAAAGGTGTAAACAATGGAAAATAGCGAATACAAATGTAAATTCAGTTAAGAAAAACAATTTTACAAGAAATAAAATAAATAATTGTTATTCCAACTTTGCTGATAAATATTCCTGACGAAATACTAGATCAAGTTGACGAAATACTATATACAATGTTATCTTTGTCAAAAATGTGCCCATGAAATTTATATTTTGCCTTGGTTAAATATTGTAGAAAAATAAGACATTGGATCTGTTTGCCAACTAGCTGTCCCATTTTACCCCGCATATGGAGTAAAAAAGGACAGAGTTTGATAGTTTTTTGTTTGATACGTGTTATGTATTATGTTGTAGTTCGTTAGACTAGACTTTATGATTACTTAAAGTGAAATTGGACCTTTGTGCCCCGTTTTTTGGTTAGAGATTTCTAAGTTAAATTTGTTAAATCATTTTTGGTTAAGATATTGTTCCCCAGTTCGAAAATTTTGAACAAATAATTGATTGATGTATTTCGACTATATCAAACTGTGTCCAAAACAAATAATTTAAAATTATTATTATAGCAATTTTTTTTAAAATAAGGATAATATATGTTGGATTTGATGCTGTGTTGAGGCATTAATTTGTTGAAGTTTGACTTAAGAGTTTTTTTGAAAACAGTTATTTTTTATTCCTACTGTTATTTTCTTAAAATGATAAATTTCTGTGAGTACAGTTAGGTGATAAAATTAATCTAGGACATGTAAGATTAAAAGTATAAAATATTATTGCATGACTGATATGTGTAAAAAAATTTTACAGTAAAATTAATGAATAGTGTTAAAAAGTGTTATAAATACATAGCAATTATTTTCAATGATTAAACATTTGGTATTCGCAGTCATTAGTTGAAAAATTAACTTCCCGAAGGGTAAGTTATACTAATCGCAAAAAATTGAAGATGATAATTTTGTAATATGACCATTTTGGCATACCTTAAAAAAATATATGTATGTGCGTGTGTATGTATGCGTTTATGTAGTATGTATGTGTGTATGTTTGGATACAAAGGGTATGGGCGCATTGCCATACAGAATCGGCCCCACCCTGGCATTTAAATAATTTATACACCATTTTATAGGTCTATTTAATAAAAACCGATATACCAATTTTCAACTTTGTACCTCATCTTATGGCCGAGATATCATTGAAAATATGCCAAAGTGGCCCCTTCTTTCAAACTCACTTTTTCGCGTAACCATAAAAGATATCGAAAAAATTTTTACGTGATTCTACTCACATTGACTCAGACCACATTATGTAGAACAATCGATTCCAAAAAATCGTTTACTATTAGCTGCAAAAGACAAAATAATTTTTCAATTGATTATTTCGGGTAGTGCATTTGTCTGGACCACTTTCTAATTAGCGTTATTCGAAAGCCTATTGTTTTTTCTTTGAGTACTGCAAATATTGTTCAAATCAATTTAGTGGAACACATTGGAAAATTGAAAAAAACGGAGCCAGTACACCCGCGCGTAACGCGTAATAGTACCGTAATAGTACCCTGCAATTGCATAAAGTTCGTTCGGACGCAAAACAGCGATGCGCCGAAACGATTCTTAAGAAATTCTGAATGCGAAAATATTTATTTTATAGTCATATATGTATAAATTCACGGAGTTTGAAATTTTTAGACATTATTAGTTTTACTATATTAATTAAATCACTAAAACTAGTGGTGTATCGTGCCTTAAGGCAAATTACTGGAACTTCCCGTACTATAATGAAATAAGAATATTGAATGCTTTCAAATATATTATTGTAAATACTGTAACTTTTATTATTCGAATTTATAGACAAAATAAAAGTGCTCTTAAATTGAACGATGGCGTTTAAATATATTAGCCTGAAAAGTGAATGAACAAAACTTAATGAAGCGGAGTTAGAAATTGCATAAAAAGGAATCGAATGTTCACTACATCATTCATACACGAAATATAACACAAATACACATACTCACATATAAATTTTTTCTATTGTGTTCCAAAATGTTCAGAAACCTTCGAAACGTGAAGATGTGCAAACATTTTCGATTGCGATTTTTGAACGATTACAATAACTTACTTACGGAAAGTTAAAAATATATACTGAAATTAAATGCATTTGAAATGTCACTATATTATAAGTAGATGCGAATTAGCTAATACAAAATTAGTTAAAAAAACACGATCTTTCGCATAAACCACACAAAAGATACAAATATTATATTTATAAATAATATAATTTTCGGAATGAATTAAATAATATATTTTATATTATAAAAATAATGCTTATTAGAATACTTTCAGTAATAATTTTTGTAAATTACTGAAGTACTATACAAAAAGCTTCTACATAAATTTTTTTTTATTTATTTTTCATAGCAAACTATACAAAGTACATTCAGCTATATTTTATTAGAGGTATATATTTTTTTACATCAAATGAAATTGTAGTACTGATAAAGAATGGTCACAATAAGGGCTTTATTGTCACAATGTTACAACTATCATTCAAAAAAAAGTTTTTTTGTGTTTGTTGAAACTAAAATGTTTCATTATATCATTATTTCATATGTATATATACATATATAACTATAAAATAAATATTTTCGCATTCAGAATTTCTTAAGAATCGTTTCGGCGCATCGCGCACTGTTTTGCGTCCGAACGAACTCTATGCAATTGCAGGGTACTATTTGCGTTACGCGCGGGTGTACTTGCTCTGTACTTTTCAATTTTCCAATGTGTTCCACTAAATTGATTTGAACAATATTTGCAGTACTCAAAGAAAAAACAATAGGCTTTCGAATAACGCTAATTAGAAAGTGGTCCAGACAAATGCACTACCCGAAATAATCAATTGAAAAATTATTTTGTCTTTTGCAGCTAATAGTAAACGATTTTTTGGAATCGATTGTTCTACATAATGTGGTCTGAGTCAATGTGAGTAGAATCACGTAAAAATTTTTTCGATATCTTTTATGGTTACGCCAAGAAGTGAGTTTGAAAGAAGGGGCCACTTTGGCATATTTTCAATGATATCTCGGCCATAAGATGAGGTACAAAGTTGAAAATTGGTATATCGGTTTTTATCAAATAGACCTATAAAATGGCGTATAAATTATTTAAATACCAGGGTGGGGCCGATTCTGTATGGCAATGCGCCCATACCCTTTGCGTCTACAATTTTAGAGCGCGGATCAACCGATCTGAATAATTAATAAAACATTGATTCGTATTAACGGGGAGACGTGCTGATTAGTAATTTGACAAAGGCAGGTCCAGTCGCTTCAAGATATGGGGAAAAGTGCCAAAAATTGCATTTCAGTTTTTGAGAGAATGGAGCGTCCGATTTAAATATTTCATAGAATATTTGCATTGATGGACTGAAAAATTGGTTTTTGAGAAGGCAGGTCCTGCGCTTTCGGAGCTCCAATAGAAAAAAGTTGAATAAAATGCCATTTGGCGCTTAAAAAAGATCATTAGACTTATGTACCTACATCAAATTATCAAATATTTTATAGAGATTTTAATAATTAGTATATTTTGTTTACATTTTTATGAGTTCTGTATTAAGATTTATAGTATTTAACCGCAAGACTGAGACGTGGCGCTTACGTGCTTCGATATATGATCCCTAAAACAGCTACGCAGCGCTATCGTTTTGAAAAAAATGTAAAATATATCAAATGTTTTCAGAATTTTACAAAAATGTTGAAGAAAAAACAAAATTTTCAAATAATTTCAAATTTATCAAAAAATCTTTTTTTCAAAATCTTCAAAAAACTTAACTTTTAAAATATGAAATTGCCGTAAGGAAAACTTCAGCAATTTGCCTTAAGAGGGTATTCTAGTGTAGAGCGATGAATTTTAGGTCATTTTTAAAGTGTCGTATAAGAAAGCAATGAATGTTTTTACTATTCATTTTTTTACCACTTGTTTATTAATATTATTAAAACACAAAACAAAAATAAAAAAGTTGAAAATTGTAAAAACTGGCAGCTGAAGTGGGTGGTCTCAAAAAATTGACACCTCAGTCTTGACATGATTTCAGCCCTCCTAGCCATCGGAAATGCAAAAAATAAAAAGATTAATAATTTACAATGATGTCGCAATCGCCCGAACTAGTGATGAAAGAAAAAAATGTTTTTTTACAAATTGGCGACTGTTTAAAAAAAGTGTTATTTTACTGTTCTTTGAGTTCCTCGATTTTTTTAAAAATAGTAAAAATTGGAATTTGGGAATAATCCTAGTTCGGGCTATAGATAGGTCTATAAACAAGACTCTTTGAACATTTCAAGTGAATTGGTCAATTAAAACTCGAGAAATCGTGTCAACAGTAATGAAAAGTCTATTCTGAGAAAAACGCATTTAAAGTTTTGCGTGAAGCCAAACCAATATGGTGACCGAGTCAGTAAAATGTCTATATCTCCAAAAAGAATTCAAATTTTCAAAAACCTTCTCGTACCCATATTCTTAAAAATTTGAATAATACACTAGAATACCCCCTTAACGCACGATGCGATGTTCCACTAGTTTAGTATTTTAATATGTCATGTTGGTTTCACAACTCCAATTTACTTACCCATGTAGTGTGAGCAAAAGACTCCGCGCCGCATCTCTTCGGCGGCAATTCGCTCGAAAAGTCGATGAGCAAGCTGCGGGCGCTGCCACGGAACCCGCCCGTGTTCACATCAAGAGACATCGGTTCGGACTTCTGCTGTGCAGTCTGCTGCCCCTGGTCGGCCTTCTGCTGATCGGGTGCTTCGCCGTTCTTAAAGGCCTTCAAGGGGTGCAGGGACGTCTCGCGCGACTGCCAAGCCTAAAAACAAAGATCGAGATATAGAAATCCTGAGAAAAATGGCTTAAAACTATTGCTATTTGTAAATTAGATAGTTAATATTATATTATTGGCACAACTTTAATAAAGATTATAGAGTAGAACGGGGCACAAAGTTCCAGTTTGATTTGAGCAATTATATTGTTAAATCCAAACCAAAAACACATCAACAAATTATACATATCAAACAACAACTGGACGATTACGTTCAGTAAATCTCCCGGCTAAATCATCTTTGTAGAAATGCATTTTTCAAAAATTTATCACATGGTTCTTTTTATCCCATAGGCAAGGTAAATGGGGCAGCCAGGGGGAGATTAGATCCAATGTCTTATTTTTAATTTCAAAAGGATTTTACAAATAATAGCTACAATACTCAACTAATGCAAAATATAAATAGAATGGGAACATTTTTGACAAATATAACACTATATATGAACTTAATCTGGTATTTCATCAGAAATATTCATCGGCAGAGTTGGAATAACTTTTTATATAATTTATCTCTTGTTAAATTTCTTTTAACTTAATTTACTTTTTTATTTGCTATTTTTATTGTTCACACCTTTGTCAGGGTAAAGGTTCAGTTGGTCCTTTTGTCCTGTTTACCCCACCCACATGCAAGCTCTTACAGGGGTTATATACAAAACCCCGTTGAATCTAACTTAAAATTTACAATTTAACTTATAGAATAATTAAAGTATACTAAAAAATTATATAAAGGTCGCGTAAACTAAACCACAGTTCTCACAACCAAAAAAACTAACAACAAAAGAAAATACTTTTGTTACGGATAATCAAACTTTGTCGTTTATTTCACTTTACTTTGGTATGGTATATATATAGATAAAATGACAAAGTGGCCTTATTTAAAAATGAGGCTAGTTTTAGTAACATCTCCGCGACTGTATAACGTGAAGAAAACCATAAAATTCTGTCAGATGTTGAGCGTCATTGTCACAGTTGTGTCGCAGTAATCAGTTCAAAAATGTATCGCGATTTCAAATGTTCATTGAAATGGTTTTGTCATGTTTTCTGGGGACTTTTTCTTTGTTATTTGTGATTATTTCTATTTATTATATCAATTTTATTGCAATTATGAAGCTTATACAACGGACAAAATGGCTATTTCGCTATTTCGTAAGAACTGCATGATAGTACATTCGAGGACCAATTCGAACTTAAATCAATTTTAACTTACACTCAACTGCTTTCTCAACTTAAAAACTGCAAAACCCTCTTCTCCCATTCTGAGCCTGCCGAAGATTGGTTAAAATGTATGATTTGTTCCCTTTGGGCTTATGCTTCATGCTAATGTCCAAAAGTAGAACAAACGATTTATATAATATGTGAACTGCCTTCTTAACAACTATCATCTCAGTATGTCGTTACCCTACATGTCATTTGATCCGTACTATATAAGCAGAATGTATTTTGTAATTGGTTGCATTTTTTCTTATTAAATATGTTATAATAGTTCTTACTCAATTAAAATACATAACATACTATGTTTCTAGTACACAATGATTCAAAAATAAGTAAAAACTATTAAGACTGGTAAAAATATAAGTATATAAATAAATATTATTAAATGACAAATTACTATGCCATTTTGCCCGCACTTAATTTCTACTTTTACCCCTTCCCCTACTTAATAATTGAAATATCACAGCATTTCAAGAATTTTAAATAAATATAAAAAAGTACTAGTAGGTATTGGGACCTTTACTGGAATACTGAATATTGAAAGTTAAACTCAATTAAAATCAGTAACAATAATAATATCTGATTTGATTCAAATGATATTGGAATTTCTTCTATAACTTCTATTTGGATCTATTTCAATTCGCATCTTAATTAGAATCTACGTAATATATAATATAGATTCTGGTATATTGCAGAATATGCGTTTAAGCATTAATATCATAAATTTACCTGTTATAAGTTCGGGAATATCGTGGTTACATAGAATTCATGTGAAATCCCAGTATTAATTACAAAACATGCCATATTAAGAAATACGTATCGCCTTTCACAACACGCGGCCTTTGATAATAATATGTCTTTATTTGTATTGAAAATGATAAATGGTCAATGACTTCGAATAGAAATAATTTCATCCAATAATATATATATATATATATATATATATATATATATATATATATATACATATATACCATGCGGTATTCAAATAAACCTTGTGACAAGTAATGACGACATATCATAGAATTTAGAAATTAACCAGGTATTAGCATTTTTTATTAACTTCCCGTAGGGTAAGTTATTGTAATCGTCCAAAAATCTAAATGGAAAATTTTTGCATAGGTTAAAAAAAAATTGCACACCAAAGGACCCAATAGTTTATATAAAATCTCTTTAAATAATGGACCTTATTTCAGGAACATACAATAAGAATAATATGATGATTTCATAAGCAGTCATTTAAATACCAGCAGACAATGTCTATTGTAATTAAAGTGCTGCACATGCTTATTCTATAATTCATGTTTATCAATGCAAGGCCGATACGATGCAAAATAGTACTGAACAACCTTGTATTATATTGAACGCGCGGATAGTGATTGGAAATGGAAGGAATTCTTATTGTTTATGTACATGCAGGTTCAGGAACATATGAAAATATGAAAATGTGACCGGTTGTACATTTAATCCCATTTAGTGACACGGTTTACTTAAGTTGCATTACATTAATCCATTTCATATTACAGCCGCATTTATCATAACTAGTTGGTAATCCTCCAGAACAACGCCAGTTTTGCCGGCCAGCCGGCTTTGTAAGCTATTGATACAATTAAATCGCGTTATTACAAGGATAATGTCTAATACTCGAGGAGCTTAGAACTTGAATATTAGAATTTACCATCATATGCTTGTGGAAATAATGTTTCTGTATTCACATACACACACACATACACCAAAAAAATATTAATTTCAACTTCAACAAATTACAAAAACCATTTTGTCCATATAGTACGGACAAGATGGCATATAACGTAAGGAAATACTGAAATACCAACATTTAAGAAAATAGTTCACAAATAAATAGTTTGATCCTATTTAGGATATCATCAGATGACGCATCAGCCCAAAAGGAACAAGCAACACACCGTAACCACCGTTTTGCCGGGCTCAGTGCGTTTCTCTTTACCAATGGATCCTTTGGTCTGTTTTTAGAAGTAGTTAAGGTAGAAGTTTAATGACAACCACCTTTGACAGTTTTCAATTTTCTTTTTTCTTGGCATCGAATGAACTGTACAAAATAGTACTCTGTCAATTTGTCCATTGCATAGGTAATTTTGTCAGAAAGTGAACAAAAATAAAAAATGGATCAAAATTTCCTCAAACATCTGATCATTGCAATTAATATAGAACACTAGTACTAGCATAGGGTTTTTAATTTTAATAGGAATAAATGCAAATGACAATAAATTAAGTGTACTAAAAACATGAGAAAACCATCCTGGAAATAAATTTCTGAAGATACGATACACGTTTGAACTGATTACTGCAAGAAGGCTGTGACAATGACGCTCAACATCTGGCAGGATTGATATCTGCATGTTATACAGCCGCAGAAACGTTACTAAAATCAGCGAAATTTTAAATAAGACCACAAAATTTTCTCCGTATTTTCACTACATAATACACACTTATATATTTAATATATACGTGTAGTTAAAAATGTATAATTCCATTTGATGCTATTAATTGTGTATATTTGTACAATTTTTGCAGTCAGTTATTTAGACAGTATAGTTCAAATATTTACTATGAGAAACAAATGTATCAGAGAATGAAACTTTCCGTTTAATGTACCTCTAACTCTGATCGGGAATCTGACATTTAGCAATTCGATTTTCAATATGACGCTATGATTCTGTTTTCGCGTTAATTGCAATAAGACCGGTTTCATCCGGCCAGATAGCACCGCGCCGTAAATAGAAACTCGCATATGTGGGCACAACACAACATTTTGCACACCTAAATGTCTAGAGATCTTTACACACGACTCAAAAATGACGGGTAATCGATAGATTTCGATTACACTAATCAATAGATTTCTAGGCCTACTCTCGGCCAAGTTTATTTTATTAATAGTACCTTACAAATCGCTGGAAGTACGATAAGAGTGCTATAACAAAGAAGTCCTGGGCATCTTCATATGATGTCGTCTAGTATAATTTTGTTAAATACTTATATATTTGACAAATTTTGAAACAAATTATCTTAAGCAAAGCAAGACAACATATAAAATATATCCGAAAATAGATTTACTAAATTTTACCAATGGCGTGGTCAAAAAGAAAGGATACGCCATGATCAAAAAGATAAGTATGCATGTTTTTCATTTTCGTGCAGTTGTAACATGTTACAATATGCCCCAAGTTATAATCTAAATAATTGTTTTTGTTTCTTATCGGAAATTATAGATCAAATCTAAATTGTGAATGAACCAACTCCGAATTCTTCTAATCTACAAAAAAATCATCAAATGTTAGACGCCATCAAAGATTAGACCACTTTCTTGGTGGACAAAGGTGGTACCAAGAAAAACTAATACAATTAGCAGACGTCAAAAAAAAAACAGTATAATCTAAATAATTGTTTTTGTTTCTTATCGGAAATTATAGATCAAATCTAAATTGTGAATGAACCAACTCCGAATTCTTCTAATCTACAAAAAAATCATCAAATGTTAGACGCCATCAAAGATTAGACCACTTTCTTGGTGGACAAAGGTGGTACCAAGAAAAACTAATACAATTAGCAGACGTCAAAAAAAAAACAGTATTGTTGGATACGTCTCGAAAAGAAGTTTTACAAATGGAATATGAGGAAAAGATTAAGAAAAAACAGAAAAAGTTGATATAAGTGAAGAAAAGGTTAAATGAATGGCGAAGGGAAAAGCCAAAGGTAAATCAACAAAAATATAATCGAAGTGGACAGAAACTAAAAAA